AAATCACTCAGCCCTGGAGGCAAGTGAATTAGCCAAGTTTGAAAGGTGGCATCCTGTTCTATGCAACAGCACAACAATGCCAAATTGAAAATAATTAAATCAAAACGGGCATCAGTGGGACTTGTTTTGAAGTTGTTGTCTTTAAATCATGTTAAAGATCTTTTATTGCCCTCTCTTAAGACAACTGGGATAAAACAATATATTTTTGCAGGCAAAAGCAAGTTCCTCCATAAGGAAGCAATAAGAGAGCCTTTTTCTACCCTGAAGGCCAAACCATACACAAGCAGAGTTTGATTATAACGGCTGATAACGAATTTCTTGCAGGATCTCAGTGCCAAGAACCTGTGTAACAATATGTTGTCTTCCTGAAGCACAGGGCACAGATGAGTAGCTTTATATGATGTTATCCCCTAACCTTTTTTTAGAGTGAATGCCTTTTCTAGAAACAAACACCTGCTACCAGTAAAGAAGGACTTTGGTGAACAAATGACTTCTCTCTCCGCTTCAACTTTCAGGGAAAATCACTGATTGGAAGTGCGAAACGGAGGTGGAAAGCTCTTTACTGAATGGTGCCAAGCTATAAAATTTACATTCTAAGGGAAGGGGAGCACATATATGCTCATCTTTTCTGTGAGATCCATCTCTTCCCCCTCTAGTTTTAAGGTGGGGGTTCAGAATTCTGACTCTCCCCAGTTCTCACACAGGCACACACTTTATCACAGCAGTCCTAACCATGGTTACTTGGAAGTAACTCCCATTGAACTTAGCGAGATTTATTTCTGGGTGAATTGCACTGTATGTCACTTTAAAAAGCAAAACACAACAGTATCTTTTCTTCCTCCAACTTCGATCTCCCCCCACATGCAACAGAAACATTTCAGCCATCACCCCCTCCCTTCCCCATTTCAGCCCCACAGCGAGACACACACAAACATTATCAGATTCAAAAGCATCCCCTCTGCCATGAGAAAAGAAAAGCTCTTAGGCTTCTTTGGGCAAAAACTTCACAACTGACTGCACATAGTTCCCGGCTTGGTTATTAGAAAAGAAAAAGAGAAAGCGCCTGAAGTGGTTATTTTATTTGCTCTTTGTTTTATAGATTTCCCCCCTTTCTTCTTAAAGAAACCCTCCTTTCTATAAAGAGAATCTGAATTAGAGATCCACCAGATTTTTTGCTATTATTGATTGTACTCTTAATAAATAAAAGAGCAATCAAAATGTTAATATAATAAGAAAATATGCAGTGTAAATTGAATGAACTATTCACTCCAAATTATTTTCTCAATTATTACATCCTTTAGTCCTACATGCAAACAAAAAAACTTTTCTTATTATAATCCTAAACTGTGACATTAGAGTATCAGATGAACTTGACGACTTCATGGTCTAGAAAGTTACCAGTCCGGGAAGAAAGAAATTCCATGCCTATTTACCCAGCTTTCCTTACAATATTACACAATGGAGCTGTGAAAAGGCAGCCTACTGTATGTATCTTACTCTGCAAGAAGGTTTTTGCCTAACACCAGTGCTTAGTGCCTGTGGGACTGGAGTACTCCCCCCCCTTTTAATCTTTGCTTTAAAAGAATTCAAAAATGGATGGGAGAGAAGGTTTTTGATCATATATTTCCATGCCAAAATACTCAAATTAATCATATAAGATAGCACTTTACTAGAGAAACATTTTTCCTTTTCATTATGTTTGTAGTTTTAAAATATAACCAATCACTTGCATCAATTGTAACTAAATAGATGTTCTCCCCACTCAAAATTTAGATGTTTACATTCTATGCACATACGCATAAGTATTAAGTTTTGAAGATTTGTTTAAACTTCCAAGAACTTTATATAAAATCAATTCAAAATACAGGAAACACAGGGGCTCAGCAATTTGCTCCACTTCAATGTGCACCCATTTCTGAGGGGGAGAAAATAAAGGAACAAAGATTTGGAATCAGAACCAACTGACACACACACACCCCACCAAACCTGGTTTGCACAAAAAATTATGAATCTGGTTCTGACCATCTTTCTTAGTTTAATCTGACTGGGTTTTTTAAAACTTGAGAGGGGAAGGGGGTTAAATATTTTAAATCATGTTATACAAGCATCACTCACCTGCAATATATGCTCTCAATTTAAAGTACAATTAACAGAAATTAAGAAATGTTAAATATGTGGAAAAATGGTTTAGGATCCTGGATGCTACTGCAGGCAGCATACACAACTCACAGGCCCCAGTGCCTAATGAAGTAACACACTGTGACAATTTGACAGAAAATGGCCTGTGAGCAACACAAGCCCCTTCTTGTGTAAATGTTTTAACATGTAGTAATATATCTGTAGAATACTATACTATTTCTGTTGTTGATTATACCCACCTTTTAACACAATGTAATAATTCTTTTTTATTGTACACCCCACAGCTTTTCTGAAAGCATTAAACTGAAGTTATAAGCCATTGCTAAAAACTGGAGTAAATTTTTGTCTCCAAAGAAACAGTATTTCGGACTGAGCACTTGATTGAAGTCAGCAATGGACCCTGGAATGGGATCTGTAGTGAAATTCCTTAGGGCTAAATTAAGAAGAGACAAATCTCACTATGAGTTTGTCAAATGCATTCCTTGTAATACTGCGCTTCAAAAGATCTTTTAGAGTCTAAGTGTCTCTAATGAATTAGTATACCTATTCTCATCCATTCGAAGTTTATTTTGAACTTGAGGAGAGATGATTAAATGATTTCATTTTTTAAATACCAAATTCAATGGGAGTTTTTGTTTCAGATCACAGACCCAAAAATGGTCTGCCAAAATAAAACCATTTTTAACACTCCCCCCATATTTGAACTCATCTGCGTTACGTAGCATTCAGAACTTTATCACTTATGAAAATTTATAAAACAACCAAGATCCGTAACTTTATTAATTATTCTGCTGTGTGTCAATGGTGATGAAAATGATGATGGAAATGGAGCATTATCTTCACAGACCCATGTCAACTACAAGTTTTAAAATACATTTTACTTGAAACTTCTCAGCTGCCCAAGAAAGGCTGGTAATGAATTTGCTCCCTTTCTCTTAATGACCGACTAATGCTCACATAACTATGATACACCTACTAGAAGACCCAGTCCCAACTCACAATCACAGCAAAATATCTATTGAGCTCCTTTTTAAAAAAAACATGTTGATGTTTTAGGTTGTTTTTTAAGATTTGTGCTTTTAAAAAGTTCTCTCAGTTAGGAGAAACCTATACAGATAAACCGAGAACATCACTTCTAAGCTCCTAAGTCTGAATATAAATTTTCCCCTTTCAAGTTTCAATCACCATGGCATTTAAATTATATATATTTGCACCTTTCCCACTTTTATATAGGTTATATAAAAATTTATATAGGTTCCCCCCCCCCTCTTTTTAGGGAGCACTGGGATGGCATCACATTGTATTATAGTGAACAATGTATACGATCATTTCTTTGCTAATTTTAGTTCAAGTTTGCTGCTCTAAGGGATATTAGAAACATTTCTAATTCAGAGGTGGCATTTAAAGGTGGGAGTAGAAGACAAACCGACAAGAAGCTGAGGAGACAGACTGAAAGACTGATTGGGCCAAAACATTACCTGACAGCAATAAATACGTTTTGTGCATTTAAGAAATATATAAAACGAGGAAGATCAAGCTCATTTAAGAATGTAGATGATGAAGTGAACTACTGTAACAACAGAGTATATTTATTGCTACCTTCCCAGCAGGAAATAATAATTTAAAGAGCCATTAAAAGTTTTTTTTTAGTCTTGTTATTTAGAATAAAGCAAATTTAAATTTCAGCCACCGTATAAAAACCGGTAAGAAATAAGGGGAATTCAGGATTTATGAAATATTTTTCTAGCATCTCTACCACCTCAAAGTTTTATTACCCTAAAGCATAGACCTAAGCCAGAGAGCCGATCTTTTCGCTAGACAAAAAACTTTCCTACCCGTTGCCAACTTGTTTGCCAGGAAAAAGTTATTTCAGAGTGGAGAAGACAAGAAATTCTGCTATCCCAATTCAGGATCTCACCCCCACTCTAAATGTGTACTCAAGAAGACCATAAATGTGAGTGCCTTTGAGCCTATCCATCCTGTCAATCACAATAAATTGTAATTCAAAGACACACTTACAGGACTGATTGATCTGCAGAAACCCCAAAGCGGTTTTGCAACATCTACTCCCCACCCCTCTTCACATTCACAAAACAGAGGAACAAAAAAAAAAATCCACTCACTGCCTGCTCCTTCCTTCATTTTCCCCTATAAGCAAGAACCTCTTATCCCTGCCTCCCATCCTCACAGCTCCCCCCACGAACAAAGAGGAAAGCTTTCCAACACCCCAACTAGTCTCACATATCCGATTCCTTTGGTTTCCATGCCACCCTCTGTAAATCCCAGCTGAAAAGTTATTTCCACCAGCACCTCTCTTTGTCTGGAGTGCTCCGTTTTCCGGGTACCCCGAACTTTCACGCGTCTCTTTTACTAAAAGGCACTGATAAATTAAACCGAGAGGAGGCTGCCTTCGCCAAGTAGTTTTTCTATATATATATTTTCCACATACACACCCTAACATCCTTGAGGTTGCAATCTCAGAGGGAGAAAGAGAGTAAGGAAGGATGCGGGAAAGGGGGGGGGAGAAGGGAGGGAATCAACAAAGCATAAATCTCAGCCTCCTTCACACACCTGCTTTTTCCAAAACACCTGGGGGGCAGGCGCCACAGACCGGCCAGTTTATCAACTTTAAGTCGTTCCTGGTCGCAAATAATCATTGCAAGGTATATATATCTCTTTAAAGCAGAAGAGTGCGCGCGGCTTAGGGGGGTGTAAAGAGAAAGAGGAAGGAACTACTGTATGGATTAAAAACTAAACTAGCACTGAAAGTTTAAGAGGAGGGGGGGAGGGGAGGCTTGTTGTTGTTGTTGCTGCTGCTGCTGCTGCGGCTGCTGCTGCTACTGTTAAAAGATCCCACCAACCTGTTTCGATCTACAGCGCCTGGAATCGGGTCTCAACTTTTAACACCCCCCACTTGGAGCATGTGGCTGCCTCTTTGCTGCCGCCGCCGCTGCTACCGCCGTTGCCGCCGCCGCCGCCTCGTCCAGCTTCGTCCCTTGCGGTGCAGAAATGCCTCCAGCTCCCAGCAGCCCGAGGTTCCCCCAAAGTTAAACACCTCGGAGACAAAGAGAGAGAGACAGAGAAAGAGAGAGAGAGAAAGAGGGAGAAGCAAGCCGACAGAGAGAGAAGAGAAAGCACTAACACAGTTCAGGCATGATCATACTTTTCTCCTGCCAAAGGCTTTGCCGCTTTCTTCTCTTATTGTATTCGGGGGGGGGGTCCTGTTTCTTCTTCCTTCACCCCTCTCTCCTGTTCCGTTTTCCTCAATGGAAGTCTCAGAGGCGGGCGGGGGGGGAGGGGGGAGTCAATCTTATGTCTCGGGTCCCTCCTCTCTCTGTCCCATTCAGATGTGGAGATCAGCCTCTAATCACAGGGGTTGTGTCTGTACTGGAGATGTGACTTGAGAGCTGGGAAGGGAGGGGAGGGGGGAAAGAGAGAGAGAGAGAGTTACTTCCAGTTCTACCATAATCCATCTAAAGCAGGTGCAGCTCTTTTCCAAGCCCACGGGTCCTGAATGGAAAAGGAAGCCACGGGCGAGGAGCGCGGAGGAGAGGGGAAGGAAAGGTTTTTTTGAATCGAGGCGAGCAAAAGGAAGCGAGGCCCCTGTCTCAAGTCACTTTTTGGGGCCTTTAATACCTGAAATCGTGATTTCTCCGCACTTTTAATGTGTTAAGTTTCCCCTCCTTTCTTATATATTTAAGGGGGGGGATAATAAGGGGTACATATTTTTCTTACAGTTTTCCGTGTTTTGGGTTGTTCAGTTTTTGCTAATAGCCCTTGTGTTAGACTACCGATTCTGGTTTTAAAGACCCTGCTGAAAGAGTGGCCTCGCTGCTATGTCATACCTTAATATATTTTACCAAACAGTTTAATGGGCACATATCGTGCGTCTGTGTGCCACAAACCCGCAGGGATCGTTGTAGGTATCACACAGGTGCAGCAGGACTGGCCGCTGCTCCTCTCAAGGTGCACAGGAAATATTAAAAGTGTGTTTGATCCCAGATAACATGGGAAGCGGCCCATACAATTTTGTTGTGGATATGGGGGGATGATTAGGGTTGTTTTCACTCATGAGACTTAAGTCCGGTTTCTTTGCATTTCTCCTATTTGTAATGCCAATGAAATACTTATATTAGCCTGAATAACTTTGAAATGGCTTCCTACCACTTTCTGACAAGTATTAAAAAAACATTTGCATGAGCACACGCAGAGTGAGGGGGAGACTCAATTTATTTTTAATTAACGTAAGTAAAAATGTCCTCACACTTGCAACCCTAAGCATAGGATTAGGCTTCATAAACGTTATAAAGTACTTTTCACACCTGACCCTTAGTTTATTTGCTTAGAAATGGCTTAAAAAAATTATACTGAGATTGGAAAGCTTGACCATTTTTGCTAATCATACTGAGATCCTTTTCATTTCCCTAAATGCTTTGCAGGTCTCTTCAAATTTGCCTTGAATTTTGCTCTCACTGAAACCATACTCTCCAGTATGTATGTGTAGGACTGGCTTGTAAAAGAGCAGCAGAATTCACCCAGGTTTATTATTATTAATAATATGCAAAACAATTATCAGCATAGTTATTCAAAAGAGGGTCCCCCTACGTTTAGTTGGGCTTACTTTCTAGTAAGCGTCTTTAGGATTGCAGCCTTAGTACATCCCAGCTCTTATCTTCTGGATACATTTAATAGATCAAAAATGCCCTTACCTGTATTTACCAATCCCTCAGTAACAATGATCCTGATCTATTCAGAGAACACTGAAATATTTTTGGAATATTTCTATGCCTTCTTTCTACTGAAGGATATTGATGTTGCCTTATTCCATACATTAAAAAATAAAACAAATAAAAATATAAAATACAGATAAATAATAAAATAACCACCACCTACATTTGAGGTGAGGTGCAGAGATAGATCCAGCTGCCTCGGGACAAGGCCTGATTCAGATCAGGATTACAGTGCTGTGGGATGGTTTTCACCTGTGCCATTTTCCCAGCTGAAGTCAACCCTATGTTATATTTTGCCCTGTGGAGAAATGGCAGTAATGGGGGGGCGGGGTGGATTTCGACCAGGAAACTGGATTGGTGGAAAGTTTAAAACACCATCTCCTAGCAATCATGGTCCTGATTTGAATTCCCAGCCTCTTGTGGCTGCTCTGATCCTTTTTAAAAGAAAAAAAGGGGGGGTGGAGATCTGATTCATCGATCTCTCACATCACATTCTAGTTTGCCTTAAGTCTAATTAAAATGACATAAATGGACAGAAATCAGCACTACTAAAAGCTATCCACAGTTAAATGCCTCTGAAAGATCAAATAAATTATATATATTTTACCTGGTGTTTATATTAAGGGTGCAATCCTACAGCCAGCATTCAGCCAGCTGAGGGGCCACAGGAAAGGCCCTTGAATGGACAGCACAAAGGCCACTGGAGGTTCCCCTAGTATGTTGTCGTTGTTATTAAAATTTGTATACCACCCTTCATCTGAAGATCCCATGGGTGTAGATGTTGCACAGGTTGTGGGGGCCAAAATGGAGTATGTCAGGAAAGGCAAGGAACCAGAAGATCCTAAGCCCCCTTCTTCCCGACACTCCCCCTCGGGGGGGGGGGGTTGGAGTGTCCAAAACTACACCAGCCCCAGTTATTTTTGTCTCGTTGGAGTCAATGCGAGAGATATTTTTTTTAAAAAAAGATGGACTTGGGAGGGGGTGGAGAGAGAATTGCTGCCCCCAACCCCATGCTGGCCACACCTATCTGACAAGACTTTGGATGTGGTGGTTGCTCTGTCTAATAGATGCCATACATGTATGAGGGGGAATGCCATAGTGCTTCAGCTGTAGAACAGAGAAGACCCTGTCCCCTAACTTCCAAAGGCAGAGGAACCAGAGCAGCTCCTCAGCCTAACATCTGAGCAAAAGAGGGAGTCCATATGAATGCAGACAGTTCTTCAGGTTTTTCTCGGTCTTAAGAAATAAGGCATTTTCCTTAAACTTACAGATCATCTGGTTACAGGGCACATGTGCTACCATTAAGTTTTCAAGTTCACTACTTTGTGAGGGATAGAAACAGAGTTTTAGACAGCCATTTTGCATACAAGAGAAGCATGGATGTTTCTGCTGCTACAACTAAGTGCTGCTCTTGTCCCACTGTGGCTGCAATCCTAAATTTATTTAAGTAGTAAGGCCTATTGAAATCAATGAAGCATATTCCTGAGAAGCCATTATTAGAATTGGGCTGTAAAAGCTGCAATCCAATGAATGTTTATTTGGATGCAAATCCCACTGAACACAAAGCAAAATACCTTAAGTATTCCACCATCGAAATTGGTCGGACTTGCTTCTATGTACACATACATAGCATGGCCTCCACAGATTCAATATTCATGTTTCTCCTGAGTAAAGATTAATAGGTTGAATTGTAAAAACATATCCAAATGCCACAATATTTAACTTACTTACTTCTTGCAAAACCTTATGAAGAGCAGCAGTAGTAGAAAGAAAAACTCAAAATGTTTTTATCAGACAGAAACCACAACCTAATGCACATTTATGCACTCTTAGAACCAACTGAAATCATGGAGCTTAGTTAGGCACATCTAACCCTATGCAAAATTGTGGCCCAAGGCTGCAATCCTGCTATCATGTTATGCATAGGTAAGTCCTACTGCTTTGCCTTAAATGAAAGGAAAATCTAATTTAAACATTTCTGCAGGAAAGGCTCTCAATTCCCTATCGTGCTTTCATTTGTGAGACCGGGCCTTATTTGCTGAGTGATTCTTATACCTCTAATAGTACTCATGCAAAAGCAATGCAATAAAGTTTTCTGTAACAGAAAAACTAAATATTTGTTGAAGATTGTATTTTAGCTGGAAACATATCAGGGTTTGTCAATGAATTTGTTTGAACCTATTATTTTCTTTGGATCTTGATTCATTGGGTGTTATAATATGGGGTACCTCTACAGTCCAGGAAAAACTGTTAGTGTTTCTTTCTAGAGTAACATTACTGTCCGAAAATTTTATATTTTATATCAACCGGTATTGTCTTTCAAAGCAGTCACACTATGAACTGCGCTTTCAAAAGCCTGCAAACTGCAAATAAAATGAAAAGTTTGACCTGTGTACAGTGGTACCTCTGGTTACGAACGCTTCGGGTTACGAACTCCGCTACCCCGGAAGTAGCTGCTCCTGATTGCGAACTTTGCCCCAGGGTGTGAATGGAAATTGTGTGCCGGAGGCGCCTGCGCAGCAGGAGACCCCATTAGCAAAAGCGCGCCTCAGGATAAGAATGGTTTCAGCTTAAGAACGGACCTCCAGAACGAACTAAGTTCGTAACCACTGTACAGGCATAGATTTTCCTAGAAGCTAATCAACTTCAGCCTGATTGTTTTCTCTTCCTTCTCGCTTTCAAGAAAATTCTGTATTACTCTGTGTTGTACTGAAATTGCATATAAGGCTAATTTTGGCTGTTTTCAAAAAAGACTGATATCTAGAGCATGCAGTCTCTCATTTATTTTTTAGAAATTATGAACATTATTTATATTTCCCCCACAATTCTCTAAGGAGTTTAGGGCAGTGTATATGGTCCTTCACCATCACTTTTTTTTTTTAATCATGGCAGCCCTGTGTTAGGGTGAGTGCCTAGACACATGAAATGTTTTCGAAAATCAAATCAACAAAGCAAAATATTGATAAACTTTTAGAAAAAAATATCCTGACCAAACATATTCCTCATATTTTTGATTTCTTCTAATAACATATGAAGGTCTAGGTTCTAGCAGTTGCCAAGAATGCCTTTTGGCACTCCCATCTTGTGAAAACACTGTGGCCCTTTCTAGCAGATCAAAACCTATCTGTAAATTATTTATTGATAATCTGAATAAATACTTGAAATGTACTGGTCCGAGGTTGTAAATAGCTACTCACTGGATCACCTCTGGCTAACAAATATGTCAAGCAGGCACTGTGGCGCATAGGTTTTACATAACATGATTCATTACTGCAAGCAGATTAGTGACAATGGGGGGGGGTTAATAATTTTTGTGGACCTTCTTGCAGTGCTGTAGTGGTCCGATCTGTGTGGAACTATCAGTGATTGTGGACGGACTACAACTTCACAT